TTCTGGTTAGGGTAAGGTTAAGTTTAGGCTCAATGACTGGAGGGAAGAAATTTCTTTCCTTGCGTTTTTTGCTTGATTGGTCATCATAAGGTTGGCGTCATCTGTTGGCAGTCTGTCCAAGAGAGGATCCACTCACTTATGGAGGTAGGTATCATACATTCTTATTTAGAAACTAATCCTCTTAATGTTTCTGCTGCTACCCATCTATTCTCAACCTTACACATATGACCTGAAAACAGTCAGGAAGAGATACAAAATTGTCATATAACTGGAAGAAGGACAAAGGCAGTGTACTCTTCTGGCGCCAGTGTAAAGACTTCAAACCAAATAGTTTAGTTTATAATTGAATCTTTTGCACATGTGTTTGAGTATTTTCTTTTCCTATGTAATAGAGTAAATTCAATGAAATGCCATTTTATTTAAAATAGATAGCATTTTCTCAATTATTTCTATATTTTAAAAATAAAATACAGGCGCCAGGTGCAGTAGCTCACGCCTGTAATCAGCACTTTGGAGGGCTGAGGCAGGTGAATCACCTGAGGTTGGGAGTTTGAGACCAGTCTGGCTAACATGGTAAAACCCTGTGTCTACTAAAAATACATAAATTAGTTGGGCATGGAGGCAAGCGTCTGTAATCCCAGTTACTCCTCGGGAGGCAGAGCCAGGAGACTCACTTGAACCCAGGAGGTGGAGGCTGCAGTGGGCCAAGATTGTGCCATTGCACTCCAGCCTGGGTGACAGAGCGAGACTCTATCTCAAAACAATAAATAAATAAATAAATAAAATCCAGGCCAGGTGTGGCAGCTCACGGCTGCCATCCTAAGCACTTTGGGAGGCTGAGGTGGGTAGATCATTTGAGGTCAGGAGTTTGAGACCAGCCTGGCCAACAAGATAAAAACCCATCTCTACTAAAAATACAAAAATTAGCTGGGTAGTGGTGGTGCACACCTGTAATCTCAGCTACTTGGGAGGTTGAGGCATGAGAATTGCTTGAGCCTGGGAGGTGAAGGTTGTGGTGAGCTGAGATCACACCACTGCACTCCAGCCTAGGTAACAGAGTGAGACCCTGTCTCCAAAGAATGAATAAATAAATAAATAAATAAATAAATAAATAAATAAATAATATAAAATACAGACTTAAGTAGCTTTTGAATTAAAAGGAAATCTTATTCCAGGCTATTTAGATTACTTCCAGCAGAAATTTAAATTGTATGATAAATACTACTCTTACCTCTTTTGCATTATGTATTTGTTGGATAAATTACCTGAATTTTGTACAGCAAAAATACTCATTTAGCTTAGTTAAAGTGTTCTATGATTTTTATGGCCCATTTCCCATATCTAAAATGTTTATATTTTAAAAAGAATACAAAATTAAGCATTTTTGCTCAGTAGTATATCAATTTTTTTCATGATCCTTAGCAAAAATTCAGTATTATTTTACCTACTTTGGTATCTGCTATATTTATTTGTTATGGATTGCCAGTTTAAAATTGGAGGACAGAATTCATTTTCAAGTGACTTTCTGAAAAGCTTCTGTGATCAATTTAAAATAAACATTATTTGGTATGTTCAAAATTTTCTTAAGATTTAATACTAATACTCTTGGAATGTATTCTACCAATTCACTTGCTTTTTTTTTTTTTTTTCTTTTTCTGGTAAACTTTATTTTATATTTCTCTGAGATGGAGTCTTGCTTTGTTGCCCAGGCTGGAGTGCAGTGGCGTGATCTCGGCTCACTGCAACCTCTGACTCCTGAGTTTAAGCTATTCTTGTGCCTCAGCCCCCCAAGTAGCTGGGATTACAGGCACCTGCCACCACACCCGGCTATCAGTTGCTTTTTTTTAATTGCAGAAGACACTGTTTTTGAGTAATAAAATGAAAACTAACACCTCTAATTCCAGATATTCTCATATTTTTCTAGACAATTATTGGGAAAAGAAAGCTGTAGGGGGCTTATTGGTCAAAGAAAATGAAGAGATGAATTTCCCTTCATGAAAAAAGCTGAAAGGAAGGCAGGAAAAGGTGATGACAATGGCTTCCTCCTCATCAAGGTATGGAGCAGAGTTGTGAGGAGTCCAGGAATGGGGATCAATCAACCTGAGCTCTGCCTCTTACTACCTGTGGCATGCTGGGCAAATTACCTAGCAGCCTGACCTTCTCTTTTCTCACTTGCAAAAGAATAGTACTTAACTAATAAAGTAGTTATGAGGATTAAGCTAAATGACATAATATATCTAGAGCACTTAACACAGTAGTAGGTATTATCATTTTTTGATAAAAGGTGTATCTTCTCAAGATCAAGCTTCCAGACTAAGGAGAAATTAGTCTCCGCTTGGGATATTTCTGACTGTGAGTTTATCTTGTCAGAAAAGCAGTTGGATATTATTAATATGGGAAAGCTTCCCTGATGTGCATTATTGGTTAGCTGATCACACAATTTTAGGATTATGAAAGTATTTAGAGTTTATACAATTCAATGCCTTCAAAGCTAGTAGATTTTTCTTTTCTTTTTTTTTTTTTGAGACGGAGTCTTGCTCTGTTTCCCAGGTTGGAGTGCAGTGGTGTGATCTCAGCTGACTGCAACCTCCACCTCTTGGGTTCAAGCAACTCTCCTGCCTCAGCCAGTAGCTGGGATTACAGGTGCCCACTACCATGCCAGGCTAAATTTTGTATTTTTAGTAGAGATGGAGTTTCACCATGTTTGCCAGGCTGGTCTCAAACTCCTGGCCTCAGGTGATCTACCCACCTCGGCCTCCCAAAGTGTTGAGATTACAGGCATGAGCCACCATGCTCAGCCTTGTTTTATTTCTTGTGAGGCTCCATGCAGGATTTTGAGGATTTACACCACTGAAAAACCCTGAAGTCTGTGTTCATTTTTCTGTCTTCTGAAGCCCATGCAAGAAGACGAGTTTGAGTTCTCTTAACATTCAGGTTAGCTTTTGAGTTATCAAGCAAAAAATATTAAAGAGTAGTGCTGAAAGATAATTTTGGCATTTTTGGATGTCTTCCAAGCAAAAAGCATTGACAACTTTGTTAGAGAATATTTGCAAAGTTTGCTGTAGGGCAGGGAGCAGAGTGACTTACACTCCAGGTTAATAAAGCTAGTTTCCCTCCCTCCTTGGAGATAGTCCAGGTGATAAAGATAATATCTCTTTCTGTGTCAGAAGGCAGATTTGTTTCCTGATCAAGATAATAAAGACAGGCTGGGTGTGGTGGCTCACGCCTGTAATCCCAGCACTTTAGGAGGCCAAGGTGGGTGGATCTCTTGAGCCCAAGAGTTCGAGACCAGTCTGGGAAATATGGTGAAACCCCATCTCTATTAAAAATACAAAAACAGGCCAGGCACAGTGGCTCACACCTGTAATCCCAGCACTTTGGGAAGCCGAGACAGGTGGATCACTTGAAGTCAGGAGTTTGAGACCAGCCTGGCCAACGTGGTGAAATCCCATCTCTACTAAAAATACAAAAATTAGCCAGGTGTGGTGGCTCATGCCTGTAGTCCCAGCTACTCACGAGGCTGAGGCAGGAGAATCGCTGGAACCCAGGAGGTGGAAGTTGTAGTGAGCTGAGATTGCACTACTGCACTCCAGCCTGCGTAACAGAGCAAGGCTCTGTCTCAAATAGTAATAATAATAACAATAACAGTAATAAAATAAACATACAATAACTGAGGTGGGAGGATCACCGGAGCCTGGGGAGGTCGAGGCTGCCGTGAGCCATAATCACGCCACTGCACTGCAGCCGCGGCAATGGAGTGAGACTCTGTCTCAAAAAAAAGAGAAGAAAATGAAGGCAATGTCTCTTGCTACAGAGGTGGATGAGTGGATATTACTGCAGCTCCTTTGAAAGACTGGGTTAGCTGTTACACAAACCCACTGTGTGTGCAGCATCTGCCTGGGACTACCCCTGCATCTTTACCCTGGGACTTGGGGGCTGGGGGAATCAATGTGCACATGAAGCTCGTGCTGTTGACTGTGCCATGTATAATATATGTAATAAACTGAACAAATCCATCTGGGCTCATTGTCTCCCTACTGGCTGAATCTGTGGAAGTTTGGCGAACTGACCTAGCAGCTGTTGTGTGACTGCTGTTCAGGATCTGTTTGGCTGCTTGACAGGTAGGATGTTCACCTCCAAAAAAATGTTGATCACGAGCTCCTTACCTGAAAGGCAAATTCCCATTCTTACCTATGCTTTCTACTTTGTAGGAGAGTCCATAGTCATGTGAGAGATATTAGTAAAAGTATTAATGATATTTAGGTTAATGTGTGTATGAGGACTTTAAAACTCATAAATGTCTTCGGTACAAATTTATTAGTTTTGTCAATAATTGCCTTCCTGCTATCTTAAGGAGCATTTCCCCCTCACTCATCCATCACCAAAGTTACTATTTTGATTAGGAGATCTTGATCAACTTCTATAAACAATGTTCGGCTGGGTGTGGTGGCTCACACCTGTAATCCCAGCACTTTGGGAGGCTGAAACAGGCAGATAACCTGAGGTCAGGAGTTTGAGAGCAGCTGGGCCAACATGGTGAAACCCCATCTCTACTAAAAATACAAAAAATAGCTGGGCGTGGTGGTGCGTGCCCATAGTCCCAGTTACTGGGAGGCTGAGGCAGGAGAATCACTTGAACCCCGGAGCCAGAGGTTGCAGTGAGCCGAGATCGTGCCATTGCACTCCAGCCTGGGTGACAGAGTGAGACTCCATCTCAAAAAAAGAAAAAGAAACACAATTTTAATCTGTTCATATTCTGAAAATAACAGATGCTGAGAGGTCATGGAGAAAAAGGAATGAATCTAGAACCAGAAACACCATTTGTCCCAGCAATCAAATGGTTTTGACCATGACTATATGCTCAAAGGAATATAAATCGCTGTATTACAAAGACACATGTACACATATATTCATTGCAGCACTATTCACAATAGCAAAGACATGAAACCAATTTAAATGCCCATCGAAGACAGACTGGATAAAGAAAATGTGGAACTTTCAAAGTTCCACACTCCCAGGCCAGAGCCTCCTCAGCTTCTTTTTTTCCCTCCTTCTCCTTCCGCCCCCTCCCCCGCACGGCTGCCTCCATTTCCTTAAGGAAGGGTTTTTATCTCTCTCCCTCCTCCACACCGTAGCGGCGCATGAGCGGGTCCGGCGGGCGGCCGAGTTTTTCAACGGATAACTTCACCAAGATGTCCAGTGATAGGCAAAGGTCCGATGATGAGAGCCCCAGCACCAGCAGTGGCAGTTCAGATGCGGACCAGCGAGACCCAGCCTCTCTAGAGCCTGAAGAACAAGAGGAAAGAAAACCTTCTGCCTCCCAGCAGAAGAAAAACACCAAACTCTCCAGCAAAACCAGTGCTAAGTTATCCACTAGTGCTAAAAGAATTCAGAAGAGCTAGCTGAAATAACCCTTGATCCTCCTCCTAACTGCAGTGCTGGGCCTAAAGGAGCTAACATTTATGAATGGAGATGAACTATACTTGGTCCACTAGGTTCTCTCTATGAAGGTGGTGTGTTTTTTCTGGATATCACATTTTCAACAGATTATCCATTTAAGCTACCAAAGGTTACTTTCCGCACCGGAATCTATCACTGCAACATCAACAGTCAGGGAGTCATCTGTCTGGACATCCTAAAGACAACTGGAGTCCCGCTTTGACTATTTCAAAGGTTTTGCTGTCTTGTTTGTTCCCTTTTGACAGACTGCAACCCTGCGGATCCTCTGGTTGGAAGCATAGCCACTCAGTATTTAACCACCGAGCAGAACACGACAGGGTAGCCAGACAGTGGACCAAGAGATACGCAACATAATTCACATCGTTTGTATGCAGTGTGAAGGAGCTGAAGGCTTCTTACTGTGCTGCAAATCTTTATAGCCTTCAAAATACAGACTTCTGTGTATATGTTATACTGATTCTACTCTGCTTTTATCCTTTGGAGCCTTGGAGACTCCCCCAAAAGGTAAATGCTATCAAGAGTAGGACTTTGTAGCTGTAGATTAGTTATGTTTAAAACGCCTACTTGCAAGTCTTGCTTCTTTGGGATATCAAAATGTATTTTGTGATTTACTAAGGATACTTACTGGTCCTGAAGTCTACCATATATTATAGTGCATTTTAGCCTAATTCATTATCTGTATGAAGTTATAAAAGTAGCTGTAGATGACTAGGAATTATGTCATTTGTATTAAACACAGATCTATTTCTCAGTAGGTGGTTCATGCTGTCGTGAAAAATGTTTTACCTTTTACCTTTGTCAGTTTGTAATGAGAGGATTTCCTTTTACCGTTTGTAGCTCAGAGAGCACCTGATGTATCATCTCAAACACAATAAACATGCTCCTGAAGGAAAAAAAAAATAAAAGAAAGAAAGAAAATGTGGTACATATCACCACGGAACACTATGCAGCCATATAAAAGAATGAGATCATGACCTTTGCAGGGACATGGATGGAGCCAGAGGCCATTATCCTTAGCAAACTAATGCAGGAACAGAAAACCAAATACCACATGTTCTCACTTGTAAATGGAAGCTAAATAATGAGAACACATGAACACATAGAGGGGAACAACACACACTGGGGCCTACTGGAGAGCGGAGGGTGGGAGGAGGGAGAAGATCAGGAAAAATAACTAATGGGTACTAGCCTTAATACCTGGGTGATGAAATAATCTGTACTACCCCCCATGACACAAGTTTACCTATGTAACAAACCTGCATGTACCCCGAACTTAAAAATTAAAAAAAAGGAAACACAATTACAAAAAACGAGTAGTGTCTTTAAGTAACAAGACAAAGTGGATAAAATGCATAGAGTAAACCTAAATCTTTCTTTCAAAACTTGCAGCTTTCACTGGGGAAAAATACAGGGTGTCCGCCTCTGACACATTAACTTAGCACTTTGGTTCTAACATACTGAAACAAATTTAGGGCTTCCTTACTAAGGACCTTGCTACTTTGATTCCTCACAATAATAGTAGGTATTACTGACACAACTGGTCCAGAAGTTATTCACGTCAGAGCCAGTATAATACTTTGGGTATATTCTCTTGCGTAGTAAATCATCTTTTAATATGTACCTTGGTCTAGAATGCGGGACTGCAGTGCCAGTCTGAAACTAGATTGAACCTGTCCACTGGCAAAAGACAAAGCACTCTTGTAAAGCTCTCTAGATTTTTTGTCTGCTACATCTTTACTTAAACGCTGTCAATTGGTCTTTACATCTGGGTAGTCTTCTGGGATTTCTTTTTTCTTTTTTTTTTTTTTGAGATGGAGTCTGGCTCTGTTGCTTAAGCTGGAGTGTCATGGCGCTATTTTGGCTCACTGCAACCTCCACTTCCCAGGTTCAAGTGACTCTCCTGCCTCAGTCTCCTGAGTAGCTGGGACTACAGGCATGTGCCACCACACTCGGCTATTTTTAAATTTTTTTTTATTTTTAGTAGAGACAGAGTTTTGATGGGTTTTGCTATGTTAGCCAGGCTGGTCTTGAACTCCTGACCTCAGGTGATCTGCGCTCCTTGGCCTCCCAAAGTGCTGGGATTACAGGCGTGAGCCATTGAGTCTGCTCGGATTTTTGATGCTCATTTGTTTTAGGATGGGTCGGTGGTGCATGAATCAGTTTTCTGTTTTGTTTTGAGACAAAGTCTTACTCTGTTGCCTAGGCTGGAGTGCAGTGGTGCCATCAGAGCTCACTGTAACCCCTAACTCCTGGGCTCAAGCGATCCTCCCACCTCAGCCTCCTGAGTAGCTAGGACTACAGGTGCTTGCCCGCATGACTGGCTAATTTTGTATGTTTTATTTTTTTAACTCGGAAACCTAGTTGATTGTATGTTATGGGCTGAAATGTACTCCCTCAAATTCATTAGTGCTGACCCCTAGTACCTCAGAATGTGACTACTGGAGATACCTCTTTAAAGATTCTCAGAGTAGATGACAGAGTGAGCCCCCATCTTACAAAAAAAAAAAAAAAAAAAAAAAGGAAGAGAAAATTTGGACAGAGATACAGAAGGAAGAACATGTGAAGGCACAGGGAGAAGATGGCCATCTATAAGCCATGGGAAAGCCGTTAGAATAAACCAACCCTGCTGACATGCCACCCAGTCTGTGGCATTTTGTCATGGCAGTTCTAGAAGATTAATGCAGAAAACAGTAAGAAAAGAGCTTCTGGCTGGGCACGGTGGCTCACGCCTTTAATCCCAGCATTTTGGGCGGCCAAGGCAGGTGGATCACTTGAGGTAAGGAGTTCAAGACCAGTCTGGCCAACATGGTGAAACCTTGTCTCTACTAAAAACACACAGAAAAATTAGCCGGGCTTGGTGGTGCATGCCTGTAATCCCAGCTACTTGGGAGGCTGAGGCAGGAGAATTGCTTGAACCCAGGCAGCAGAGGTTTCAGTGAGCCCAGATCCTGCCACTACATTCCAGCCTGAGTGACAAAGTGAGACACTGTCTCAAAAAAAAAAAAAAAAAAAAAAGAAAAGAAAAAGAAAAAAGCTTCCTTTTCCACTTCTCCCTAGTTTGAAATCCATGAGGTATTTAGAGCTATGACAGCCATGGAACAATGAGGTGAAAAGAATAAAGACACAAGCCAGCATGCTAAAGACACAGAGAAGACAGAACCCGGACTTTTAGTTACATTTTAGAGAAGCTGATCTAGGGGTTGACACTCTCTAAATTTCTGCTAGGTAAACACTGAATGTCCCTATGGTTTAGCTACTTTTAATTGCCTATTCTGTTAGTGGCTGCTGAAAGCATTCCCAATGCAGATGCATAGCTGTCTTGTTTAACTCTATAGTCTTAGTACTGAGAACAGTGCCTGACATGCAGTAAGTGGTCAAAGAATATTTGCTGAAAGAATAGGTTGGGCATGGTGGCTCATGCCTGTAATCCCAGCACATTGGGAAGCCAAGGTAGGCAGATCACTTGAGGCCAGGAGTTTCAGACCAGCCTGACCAACGTGGTAAAACTCCATCTCTACTAAAAATACAAAAGTTAGCAGGGCATGGTGGCACATGCCTGTAGTCCCAGCTACTCAGAAGGCTGAGACAGGAGAGTCGCTTGAACCCAGAAGGTGGAGGTTGCAGTGAGCCAAGAACATGCCACTGCACTGCAGCCTGGGTGACACAGTGAGACTCTGTCTCCAAAAGAAAGAAAGAATAGAGTGAATGGATTTTAGATCAGACACTAAGAATCATACCTTCAGAAGTGTGAGAAAATCAATTTATGTTGTTTAAGCCACCTAGTCTATGCAACTAGTCTGGTTGAAACAGCCCTGGAAAACTGACATGTTTTGTTTTCTTTGGGGGGGCTCTCAGGGCAGGTTCCATGTAGATTAACTTTGCTTATGTTCCTTCTGTCAGTGTTGTAGGGCATCTTTGGGGTCATACCTTAGGTAATAACAACTTACCATTCTTGTTTTACTCTAGTCCATTAATCTTTTCGTTTTTGTTCTTCAAAAATATTTATTAATTATTATTATTATTTTTTGAGACAGGGTCTCTCTCTGTCACCCAGGCTAGAGTGCAGTGTGTGATTTTGGCTCACTGAAACCTCTGCCTCCTGGGTTCAAGCGATTCTTGTGCCTTCTCCTGTGAAGCTGGGACCACAGGCGTGCACCACCATGCCTGCCTAATTTTTGTATTTTTAGTAGAAATGCAATCTTGCTATGCCGCCCAGGCTGATCTCAAACTCCTGGCCTGAAGCAATCCATCCCTTGGCCTCCCAGAGTGTTGGGATTATAGGCGTGAGCTACTGTGCCTGTCCCATAAACCTTTTTGGATAGTACCTAAAGTTCTTCAACCTTAGACAACAAGATTATTAGATTAAACTCAGTGAGTATTTTACTCTAATGAAGGGATCCAGGTGGAAGGAAGACTTGATTTACTTATTCATTAAATATTTTTTGGCTGCCTACCATGTTCCAGGAATTGTCCTATGATCTAGGTGTTGGGAATATAGAAATTTGAACTAAAAGTTCAGGTTCTCATGAAGCTTACATCCAAATGTGTATATATATGTGTGGGAGGGGAAGATAAAATATACACTTAAATAAAAAAAAATAAAGAAATAATATGTCAAGTATAAATAAGGCAAAGTGAGGGGAAAAGAAGGCTGAGAATTTAAAGGATGGAGTTATGTTGAATGACTATATCTTATGGGAACTAAATGACCATTATTCAGAATAAACATGCCAGAAGACAAAGATTTCGTAGATAATCAGAAATAGAAGATAATGAAAACTTTCACTTCCTTTGCCTGAGGTTGTTTTATTTTTACTAAGTTAACTAATTAATTAATCTTTCTAGCTTTTATTTAAGTGCAATGATCGAGGATGGATTTGAGATCTTGTTGAACGCAGCCATATCCATGGATTGCATATAGTTCTCAAAGCAGTGATCTGCTCCTACCGCATATCTATTCCAACTTTATCATCTTTAACATGACATTTGAAGTTTTAAAATTCCATATCCCACTGGAACTAGTAGAGAGGAGCCCCAGACTAAGCGGTCTGCTTTAATTCTTCTGACTCACTTCTCTAATTTTTTAAAAAATTTTATTTTAATAGCTTTTGGGGCTGGGCGCGGTGGCTCATGCCTGTAATCCCAGCACTTTGGGAAGCTGAGGCAGGCGGATCACAAGGTCAGGAGATTCAGACCATCCTGGCTAACACGGTGAAACCCCGTCTCTACTAAAAAAATACAAAAAATTAGCTGGGCCTGGTGGCATGCGCCTGTAGCCCCAGCTACTCGGGAGGCTGAGTTGGGAGAATCACTTGAACCCAGGAGCTGGAGGTTGCAGTGAGCCGAGATTGCAC